TGGTTAACAAGGCACTATTTTCCCCTCACAGTAATGCTGACTCTTTAATGAAAGATTTTATGTCAGGAAGCAGCAAGTTCCAGCAGCTTCCTGAGGGCAGAGCATGGTAACGAGGTAGATGGGGGTAGTGGCTTCACTATCAAAGGACCTGCCCCTGGTATCCAGGTAAGGTGAGCTGGGCAAGCCTGGGCATCGTGGCTTGGCGATAATAGCCAGGGTCTGCAACCCAGGTGCACTCAGCACCCTGACATTGTGTTTATCTCTTGGCTTAGTGATATTACTCCTTTTTCTACAGACATTTCTGTCTTGCCAGGGGTGGAAGTCAGATTTACTAGTCTGTAGTTCCTGGGATCTCTTCTAGAGCCCTGTTTTGGGTTGGAGTTACTCTCCCAGGCTGCCAGTCCTCTGGCAGATTGGCCTTGTGTAATGACAGTTTGCACACCTTGGCCAGCAGTTTTGCAGTTTCACATATGAATTCCTTCAGAGCTCTTGGGTGTATGCTATCCAGTACTGTGGGCTTACTCTCATTTAATATATCCTATCTAATATTTAGTGTGTAATTATTTAAAATCTAATTTGCCTGGCACAAATAGGGGGTTGAATCTGGGAATCTCCTAGCCATCCACAGCTGTGACTGATACAGAATTACTCAGCTTCTGTGATGTGAGAAGACACCCCCAAGTGTTCTTTTTTACACTTTTCTCATCAAATACCCATACTGTTTTAATGTTATATGATTTTTTTTGCATAGTCTTTGACTGTTTCAGTCACAGGAAGCCTCAAGATGGCAGAACTACTGAAAGATTAAGATAAAGTTTTGCTCTTGCATCTGCATGAGATGTAGTAAAGACTGTTAAAGCTTGATCTTTTCAGAAAGCACCTTGATGAAGCACCTCTCTGAAGGATCTTCCTTTACAAAGATTTTCTAGGGTCTGAGAAATGTGACTGCTTAGCCTCCAGCTGCATCAGAAATTTGTGCCAAAACTTTGAAACTTCGTGATTTTTTTTTTTTTTTTGCCCCTCTATGATGGCCCTAAGCAACTGAAAGGATCTGAGGAAATTGCAGTTGGTGGGGTTTTGCTTGTGCTTAACTTCTGCCATAACTGTCTATATCCATTGTAGATAAGAGGTGAATAAATACAACTTAGGTATCTAAGCAAAGTTACTGAGTGATTAGAATTGAAATTTCTGTTTTCAAACATGTTTTCCAGTAACAGATCACAAATTTTAGTTACTGACACACTGGAAACCCTAAGGTATTGCAACACTTTGAAAGCTGTATATATTTGCACATGATAGTTCCATTAGGAGTTTAAGGAGAAAATAAAAATAATATTTTCTTGTCTCTTGGAACGTTTTGGTGATCACTGACTCGTTTGTCTCAGACTGTCACTTATATTAGTATGTAACAACCATATGTTAAAACAATCCTTCAAATGCTTCTTGCAGCTTTTGAGGACACTTTTAAGACTTGAAACCCTTAAGACTTAAAACTATTCAAGAGTTAGCCAAACCAGCCAAGGTAAGTCAGGAGATTGCAGATACTGAGGAAGGGAAAGGAGTTGGAAGCCTGATGGGGAAATTGTTGCAGGTTTTGCTTTACTCCAGAGCTTTAAGATTCTCATCCTAAATCTTTGTTTTCTTGACTCCCCCTTCCCAATTAATTTGAAAGCAGTGACTGAATGCACCACCAAGTGGTTGGTGGTAGCTCCGGGTTTACTTCTGTTTGGTGACACACCAGGTAGAATTTCAGGAAGCCACTGCATAATTCTCTTGTGTTTTTCCTGCTGCGGGAGATGTGTTGCCAGACCATTTGGCAGCCAGCTCTGACAGAAGCAGTTCATGGAGAAACCAGCAGCCTGAAGCAACAGTCGCTTTCAGGCCTATGCTCTTCTTTTTTTGCCAAATTACTACTGCCTGTTCTATGTTTAGCGCTATACACTGCACTATCCTTTAGCAAAATGGAACCATTTTTTCCCTTCCCACTCCTGCAAAAATGGCAGTATTAGACAGGTGCATCCTAACACCTGCTGTACTAGGAGCTGCTGGACAATCATAAATAATTGACCTTTGAGCAACTCTGACACATTTCATACTTTCCCTTGAATTTATTATCTGTAATTAACATTATTAATTTCTCACTTTTCTTTTTTTGCTGCTACTTAAATAGTATAGTATCTTTTTTTGTTGTTGTTATAGCACCCTAAGTTCTTTTTTCACATTTCTTGAAAAGCTGACCGCAACAAAGAAGAGTGAAGGATGTGTTTTTTCTATCTCATAGCAGTCAGGAGCCCATGGAACAAGGAAAGGAACATCAGTAAAAGGCAGGGGTGTACAGAATTCATCAGAAGGTTATGCAGCTTTTGAAACCACGAAACAAGATGCTATAAAACACTAGTGAGCAAAACACTGAACAGATCACCCTTCAGAGTTATGTGCTTGTGCATGTACGTGAAGTCATCGTGACATCTACTTTACCTCCAAAACTGAGTGGAAGGGGAGAAATGCTGAGCATGTAGTATTTGTACTGAACTGCGATGCAGTCAGGTTCAGTCAGCACCTTTTTGTTTCAGAATATCTTACAATTATGTTTGTCACTGTTCAACTAGGTTTTATTTTGCAAATTGAATGGCTTCTTTCAGTATCAAATAGAATTATGGTGTCCATTCCAAATCTGTACCTTTTAAGTTTCATGTAATATTATGTATTTGATTAAGACGCGGGCAGGCGAAGTATAGATTTTATTCAAAATGCTTTATTAATTAATACCCATAGAACCATGGTGACCAAATGCTGTAGCTAAGCTTTGCTTAGCTGTACGGATCTCCAGGAGTCTGTTTTGGCTTTCCAAAATAGCAAGGCTTTTGTTCCTGTATGCCCATTCTTCCAGTCTTCTGGGAATATTTATCTGTTTGCTTTGCAAATCCTACGTACAACATATCACTGCAGCAATGGCATTAGGAACATTTGATTCACTCCGATCCAGATGACTCATGAGCTTCCTTTTAATTTATCAGTGGACATACTGCATCTGCTTAGCCAATATTTAAGTTTTTCCTAGCTGTTGTTGGTGTGGACAGACTAATTTTATGGACTAAAAATAACTGTAGGTGCGTGATGCTGAGCATCCTCTGACAGAAACGTCCGTGACCCGCTAAGCAGCTCTCTGGACAGCTGCATGGGGAGCCCTGGGGAGTCTGCTGACAGAGCGGAGCCTCTCTGCTCACTTTGGCTGTGCAGAGATGCACGGCAGTGCTGCAAGCGTGTGTGTGGCACTCGGGGTAATAGTAGAAGCATCAGTGAAACGTGGGATAGCTGCACCTTCATTGTATGTAGAAAGTAACTTGGGAGAGTTTTGTTTGGTCTGTGGTCTTCCTTCACTATAAGGGTGGTGAGGCACTGGAACAGGTGGCCTGGAGAAGTTGTGGATGCCCCATCCCTGGAAGTGTTCAAGGCCAGGCTGGATGGGGCTTTGAGCAACCTGGTCTAGCAGAAGGTGTCCCTGCCCTTGGCAGGGGGGTTGGGACTAGATGATCTTTAAGGTCCCTTCTAACCCAAACCATTCTATGATTTTCTATCAAACTTAGCATTGCTCATGATGAAAAAATTGTGTAAACGCTGTCAGGATTACCCCTAGGTCTTCATTGCTTTTTTTTAATGCTAGATCATCATTTTGGGGGTGGGTGGTTAATGCTGAGGTTTTGGCTTACTAATGACGCCACAGCTGTGCGCAAGAGTGACTTTTTACTTCTTTGGCTTACTAATGACGCCACAGCTGTAAAAAGTCACTCTTGCGCACTTTGCTTGTTTAATTTCTCTGCTGTCAGAAGACTGATCTCAAAGACACACCCTGAGGCCTGTAGACTGTTACCATGTGGACTTTAAACACCTAGTGTTTAAGGTAAAGATAGGAACATGGCAAAATGTTTTTTGAAAGGGCTTTTTAGATGGATATGCAGCACCACAGTAATTGCTGTGGAATCTAGGGGACATGCTGAAGGGCTGTCTTTATTTTCAGAGGAGGGTGATCGTTAAAATGATCAATGGTCATAGTTATTTTGGTGTTTTGTTTCTTATAACTGTTTTCACTATAAAAAAAAAAGAAAAGGTTGTGCTCTGGTTAAGACACTTAAGAGTTCAGAGCTGTGGAAGGCATACTAAATTCCTCTGAATTAATTCCATAAATTAAGAAACAATCCTCTACCCTGAACTTTAACTCAAAATTAACCTTAAATAAATTAATAATACATTCTGAGAGCGTTGATGGCGTCAGCACATTGAGAACAATCTGGTATCGAAACACTGTGTTTAAAAAGAGTATGTACAAACTGAATCTTAATTTCTGATTGATTTAGGAAGTGGAATCCAGGGTGTCTGGTTTTCTGATGCTGATCTCCATGTTTAGGGTGAGATCTTTTCATGTTGCTGCTGGAGCATGACAAACATTTTTAGTGGCATGTAACCTCTATGTCTTTGACCTGTTGTAGGAACTACTGGAAACTTCCCCTAGGAACTGCTTTTCTTACCTTTGCCATTTGTAACTCACAAAGCATCTCATGCAAGTTATGTAGTGATACTGAAAATGCATTGTGTTGTACAGTATACACCTGTATTGTTAATGTCATCTACAACTGCATGGAGGAGAGCTACAACTGAGGAGTAATAGATGCCCGAACAGAAAAGAATATAATCATTAATATGTACTTGATCTATTCAGCTTTAGGACAGCTGACTCTGCTTAATGTTTGGATAATGGTGAGCAACCTCTTTGTCCTGCACTGCACTGGTATTTAAAAAGAACCTTAAAACGGGGCTAATACTGACTTAATAAAAAATAGCACAAATACCTGTTTCTGAAGAGCCTTTGGGTTTGTATTACTTCGTCAAATAGATTCAGCTGTGGCGATCATTCTTAGTTCGATGGCCGTTCACCTCAGCCCCCTGTAGTGCATTTCTGTTTTGTCCATTTGGCTCGAGGTGTTCCAAGTAAAAAAGCAAAAATGAGGCTAGAACCCAGGTGAGACCTCTGACTGTAAGGACATATTCAAAATCCATATTAAGCAGAATATTGCTTGCCTGTGAGTTTTGTTTGAGCCAAAAAATGATAAGGAAAAATTTGCTTAATACATGCATATATACGCAAACATATAAGGACACTCTAGTTCATGCAGATGATAAATACCATGAAAAATACTTATTGGGGCAAAGCTGTGCTTTCCAGAACAAATCATTTTGCTGATAATGAATGATTTTACTTGTGTGTGTGGAGTGTGCAAACTTCATTAATGGATATGACCAGTAACTAATGAGAACTGCATCTTAAAGTCATACTGGTACATGCTGTTCTCATCCTGGTGATCTTAAGAGTTTCTGCGATGGACATATCTGTCTGCTGGTGTTTTAGGAGCTTGTAGAGAAGCTTTGCAGTAGCTTGAATGTAAAATTCTTAAAAACATCCCGAGGCACAATTCTTCTCATCTCCCTGCAAGGCCACAGTAGAAGTGACTTTTCACTGATAGCAGTGGTATATAAAGGCATTTTTATCACTAGAGGATGGAGTTTGTAGAATTTAAGACATCGTCTCTCTTCTTTCCTTTCTACACCTGTCAAAATTGTAAATGCACCCAAGTAGTAATAAAAAGATTCTTGATCCTTGGACTCTCTTCATCTGTTACCAAAAGATCACTGTTTAATTTCACCATAAGTCAGTGTCTTTGGCTTGGGCTGCAGAACAGTCGACTAGAACACTGAAGGCATCAAATGGCCCAGGAGAGGATAGTAAGTGATAGCTAGACAGTATTGCAATTGGCTCTTTATTTCATCATGAGAATTACTTATTAGGAAAAGACTTGAAAAGAAGGGTGGAAATAAGGAAACTGTATATACATATAGTGTCTCACTGAATGTCTGTGGAAGCAGTATAAAGTAGCTTCTGTCTGCAGAAGTATTATCTTGATAAAATCTCCATGTACTGCTGTATGTTTGGCCTGCTCCTTTGATGCCTTTGATACTGTGTGTAAATGAATTCATCTGTAGTTTTCCTTTTGCCCTGGCAAAGATTATGGAACAACTTCTCCAATCTTGATTGGAGATTTACTGCATCAACACAAAGGCACAACAGTGATCACAGTACTCCACCCTGCTCTACAGAGCTGCTAACAGAATTGAATAACATTGCTTGCCTGTTTTTTATCCATTTTTTATGGACACGTCATCCTTGGTGAGAAGTCTGACAAACATGTACTTTGTTTCAGACTGAAAAATAAAGCTCTAATAGTGGTGGTATTTGAGGAAAAAGGAGTTCGTATGGGCTGCCTGGACTCTTGGAATCCCTCTTTGTGTGTGCATGTGATATTTATGTGATATTATGCTTATCTAGGAATATGCGTTGGAGAAGTTTTTTAATCTCACTGATGCCAGTTACTGCATGAAGTTATTTCTGATTGTTACAAACGCAGTTTAAATCAGACTCAGGAGTAGTATGCATAGGTAACATGAAATGTCACTGAGAGCCAGATGTTCAACTGCTGTGTGATGACACCGACCCTGATGAGGGCAATGAAATAATTCCAGTTTATGCAACTTGAAGTATTTGAGCTCTGAACTTTTCTTTACAGTAAAAATATACAATCACTCCCCCACCTGAGTACAGGTAACCTCCAGGCTGTTTGTACAATGAATTTCTTTGTTTTTCTCTCTTCTTAGTGTTGGAGCACTCGTGGGCCTGTCAATAGCAGCAGTGGTCCTCTTTGCTTTTATCATCACTGTGTGTGTTCTCTGTTATTTGTTTATCAGCACGAAGCCACGCAGCAAACTAGATACTGGTTTAAGCTTACAGATGGCAGGTAAGACCAGTTGTTATTGACATACATTATCTCCTGCAGAAGAAAAGTCTTATTCTGTCTTTAAATGGGAGTGGAGGAATCCAACAGTGTGTATCTGCTTTCTGATGGGGACCTCAAGATGTAGTGAAGCTATCCTACTGTTTTACTTTCTGAATGAAATCTGTACCAAACTCAAATGAAAAAAAATTAACACAAGCTCAGTGTATTTTAGTAGTAGGAAAAGTGTAAAACTTCTCAATACTGAGTAAGGGTGAAACAAACAAGTCCCTTTATCAGGAAGAGGCTTAATCAGTTAGTTGCTCTGGATTTCCTGTCAAGAGTACATAAACATCTAGTAGTGATTTCATTCTAGGAATAAGAATCTCAAAGGAGATTTTAAGTGTATTTGCTTGTGGCAAGGAGAGATCTTTTTTTTTTTCTTTCTTTCTTCCTGACATAAGATCCAGTCTTAGAAATCTAAAACTCTTTGCATCAGTCCCAGTAGTCCATACCTTTGTGCCTAAACTGCGTTGGCGGATGCCTGCAGGAACAGTGCATGTAGCCAGCGCTAGCACATTGGCATGGAAAAACCTGTGGCTGCTGCTCCATTTCACTACACTTGTGAAATCTGACTGCAAGTTTTGATAGTGGGATGTGGTGTGATAAGTTTCACCCTTTGTCTTGGACTTCCTAAATATTTAAATATGGCTTTGGTGATTCAGCCAGTAAAGGAACCATTGTTCTTATTTAGGCCTTGGAAATTAAACAAGTTGAAAAAGGGGAATAATTCTTGGGGAAAAATTCCCCTCACCCCAAATTCTTTTTTTTTTTTTTTTTTTTTTTACTAGTTTTTAAATGCTTCTATACCTGAATGGCAATAAATGACAATAAATGACCCCTGAGTTATTGTAATTACAGCCTATTATACAGCAGTAAACCCCCCTCCTGAGCATCTAGCTAACATGGTCCACTTCATACCAAACTTCTTGTGTCTTGTTTTGTTCTCCAGACAGTGCAGACTTTGGTCTAAAAGTTGTTTATAGGGCTGTCAGGAAATGCAAACCCTCCCTTTGGAGCTACATAAGCTGAGCAAGCTGCCAAAGTGAAAGTCACACATTGAGCAAACTGCTACTAATCTGCAAATTGAAAACTTCACACCTGTCCTGGAGAGAGAAGAAATAAGAGCTACTACCTAGAACAGCCTAAATAAACTCTTGGGTGGGATTAACAAAATGCCTAGTGATCTTTTACAAGATGGTTGTGTTCTAATTATAAACTGGCATTATGCTTTTGAACATGTTGCTGTTTAACTTCTTTCCTCAGGTTTCCCTGCAGTGGCATCAGCTCCTAATCCATTGCAAGGACAGCAGTGCGGGTTTTTTTCATGCTTTGTGTTTTTGTGCCAGACCCGTTAGGCATATGGGGAGCTGGGATGGGGGCAGGTGCTATTGCACTGCTGCTGCCGAGTGATTCCATCTTTCTCTACAGACTTGAACCCTGCTGCAAAACCATATCCTGCTTTGGCATTAGAGATCCTTCCTTTCTTACTATCCTGGGGTGAACAACATCCCAAGATCCCCAAATGATAACCCAGCATTCACATAGGCATCCTGCCTCATGATTCCAGGTGTTAGGACTCCAGGAAGCTGAGAGATCTTTGCTTTTTCCTAACTATCCCTATGTTGTTTTGAGCTTTATTCAGACTGCATTACTTTGTATTTAAACACTGTTTTGATTTTGCTTTCATCCTGTGTTTTTCACTTTTATTATTCTGCTTCTTAGGCTGCTCTGAATGACAATTATTTCACATCTGAATTCTGATAGCTTTAGCTGTTGATGAGGTGGACTGCCAGAAATTGAAAGCCAGTTACTTTGCCAAGGTTGAGAGATCTTTGAAAATGTTGAAGGATTTCATTGACAAGCCTGAGTGCTTATCTTCATCATACTGGGGTTTCTTTTGCATGGAAGTCATGCAAGGTCTGAGTATCTTATGAGATGGCTGGTTAGCTGCTTTCAGGCCTGAGGAACAATAAAAGCAGCCTCTCCTCCTCTTTCAGTTCTTCTGAGATTTGAGCATAATCATGTATAGGCAATAAAAATGAATTTAAAAGATTAAAATGGTTTTTAGAAGCTTCAGAATATTTTAGGCCTGAGGACTGAGTTTTTACTGTGAACTCAGTTCAGCCCTGCTTTTTCTGAACCAGCCTAATCTTGCCTTTAGGTGAAGGCTGTGTCACACGTTGGGTGTTGTGCGATGTCTGTACCTCTGGATCATCGAGAGAGCACTCATTTATGAAAGCAATATTTTTTTTTTTATTATATTCAGTTTCACCCATGGTATATCAGCTCAGTTGGAGTTTTGTATTTCATTAAACATACAATTGATTATTGTATGCCTTTTCTACCTCATGTAGTAGTGAAAGTTGGTCGTTGTTCTGTGAGCTCATCCAAGGTCTCCTAAATATAGAAGTGGAACTGTTGAAAGTTTACAGAAATAATTGCAAGATCAATCATAAATCTAACAATAAACTTCATGTGTAGCCTTTGCTAAGGTTTCTCATTCTGCACAAGGCAGATCAGCTGGAATTTGCCTATATTTAGTCTTGAACAAATGGTCTGCAACAGCATCGATACAGATATTACCTATGGGGTTCCTGAGTTACTGAAGACTGTTGTTAGCCCTGGCAAAAATTAACATTGTAATCTGAGAACCGAATTTTAGGAAAAATGAACTCAGTCACTGATGTAGACCAGGAGTAACTACTTAAATGTTAATGGAATTATACTGATGTAAACTGTTGTTACTAATTCCTATTTGTAGTATCATATTGTGGAGTGTTTTAGGAAAAATGAACTCAGTCACTGGTGTAGACTAGGAGTTATTTGTAGTATCATATCGTGGAGTGCAGGGCAGATCCTCTATATGCAAGACAGTGTGTACAGGCAAATGAGTAGATACCGTATCTCAAGGGGCTTAGCGTCTAGTTTCTTATCAGATCTAGTATTTCTCAATAAAAAGTAGCAATGTGCTTTATTTATCTTTTTCAATGAAATCCTCTCCTTTTACAGTCAACATCTCAGCTCTACATTGCTTTCTTATTGTTTGTACTCTGCGTCAGAATGCAAGGCTCACCTAGGATTTGGCGTGTGGGTTAATGGTCTGCCTTACTGAAGCGTCAAAGTGCTTCCCAGTTTTTCCTCTATTTATCCTCACAGCTACCTTTCTGAAGGAGGGAGATGCTATTAGCCCCATCTTACAAGGAGACAGAACTGCAGGGAAGTGTTATATTTTTAATGCTTTGTGTGTCAGTCTAGACATTAATGTCCAGTGGAATTTTGAAAGGACATCACTAACCAGAAGACCTTTGTCCTTTTGCTTGATACCTCATGGTATGGCTCTAAGACTAGCTTGACACAGGAGTTCTGTGCTGCAGAGAACTGAGCCATCCTTTTTGAGACCAAGGTGAATATTCAACTCATTGTAGCATACTTTTTCTTAGCATAGTGAACTTGCTTTTTAATTATACATGTTGCTCAGTAAGCCTTTCTGAGAGAAAGGATTTTTCACTCAACTCATTGTAGGTGTTTCTATTTCTCCCATTTCAAGGCTGGAGAACTATGAAAGTGTTTCTTCTTGGTAAACAAAGGCCCCAAAGAAATCCAAGCCCCAAGAATGCAAATGTTACAGATTTTCTCAAGATAAAATGGAATTTGGTCATATGCTTTGTTCTCCTCCTAACCATAAAACTTCTCTGTACAAAAGGTTGGAGTACTTGTGGCCTTGTAAATTACTCATAATTGCTGGGAAAAATGTTCTTTATTAGAAGAGATTAATTCCTTGTTCTTACAAAGCAGTGACATCGTAGTATGCAAAAGTTTATGGTTTCATTTCATAATAAGGAAAAACTCAGCTTGAAAAATAGCCAGATGACCTTCCTGCCCCTTTCTCTCCTTAATTAAAGATTCCTCATGGGACACTATTCAAATATACAAAATATTCAGCTATAAAAGCAGCAAACTCACACTTTCTCCTCCTTACCTCAGCTGAGTTATCTGACTATTGGTTCCAAAACCATATAGCTGCTGTCTTAATTCAGAGACACTTCACTTGGTTGTTGGAGTATGCATTGATAGCTTTGCTTTCTAGGTTTATCAATAATTTCCACTGTATGGTCTTTCTGCAGCTAGCCTTAAATTTTCCCAGGTTAGGCTACTTTTCTCTTTGCCAGCCATCTGCCTCAGGTACTTGTATACGGGAAAGATCAGCCAAATGGGCTCAATTATTAAAAAAAAAACCCCACAACAAACCACAACATAATTTTTTTTTCTTTAGGAAATGAAGCAATTTCCTATTTTGGAGCTGGGAATTCAAGTTTAGTGGAAGGGGTAGCATTAGCTCAAAGTTGCATCACTAGGAAAGGTTAAATTTGGAAATATTTAAATTGGACTCCTTCGCTTTTAAATTTCCCAGACTTTCTTATAGCAGTAAATTTTTGGAACTCATTAAGATAAGTGTTTGGGGTTTTATTACCGCAAAGATAACTGTAGGTGCTGTAAGCTGTTTTAGATATGAAATCTAGACAGGCTTCAAAAACAGGGTGTCTTCCTCTATAACTGATAACGAATTTTTTTTTACTTTTGGGGTTTGTTTTTTTTGATCATGGCTGAAATAAGTCACTGGTTGGTTTCAACTAAGATCTTGGCTTAAATATTATTGTACAGATATTTTGAAATGTCAAGCTATCAAATCTCATGTTGATATTTTGAAACCAAACTGCAGGTTTTTCAATTCAAACAATAAAATGCAACTTTCAAAACACTAAAAAAAAAATCATTTGCCCAATTTACTTTATTTCAGTTTTTGTAAATGAGAATATTAGAATTCTCGACTTTTCATCCTGATTGGATATAGGGAGCCTTTTTTAATCCCTTCCCCACACACTTCCTTGAAGAGAAGTACCCTTATGCTTATCTTTTCTTTTCTCTTTGTTGTCTGTGTTGGCCCAAGTAGTGGGAAAGTG